TAAGGTGGGAACTGTAGCCTGCATTAGGACTGGCACTGTTGGGCCTGGCCTTCAGGAACATTGATTCCTCATGTTTTTCCCCACTCTCACTATTCTGGTAATTCTACTGGTAATTGTGTGGAGGACTCCATGGGGCTGCTCAGGGCTCTCTGGGGACTGTCTGCTCTCCTTTCCTGCGATTGATCAGACTAATAACTTAGTGTAGTCTTTATCCACTTCCAAACTTATCTTTTTGGAGGTGTCTACTGAATGTCTCGTGTGGTCAGTGAAATGTCTTCCTTCTGGCTGGAGGAAATTTGAACAAGTTCTGCCCCTGTGTGAGCTCTGGGAATTGTTTTATAGGTCCTCCTAATTGTTCTTTCATCAGAAGCTCTTCTTAGCCCGGCCTTTAAAGACTGGGCTATGCTTTCCCTGTGCATTTACAGATTGGAATTGAGCTTAAGATTTAAGGGAATTTGTCCTGGCCAGTGTGGATCAATTAAGTACCAGAAGGTCCTGATTTGATTTCCGGTTAGGGCACATAACCAGTTTACAGGCTCGATCCCAGGTCAGGGACCTTGCAGGGGGCAGCTGGTCGATGTTTCTCTCTCACAATGATGTTTCTCTCTCTCTCTCTCTCTCTCTCTCTCTCTCTCTCTCTCTCTCTCTCTCTCCCCCCTTCTCCTTCTCCCCCTCTCCCTCCCTCCTCCCTCTCCCCCTCTCCTCCTCTCTTTCTCTCTCTCTCAAATCATATTTTAAAAAAAGGATTTAAGGAAACTCAAATTAAGATTTTAGAAGGTACTTCTCTATGTAACTTCCTTCTCTCGGGAAGTCTTCAGAAATTCTATTTGTCTGGCTTTCCTAAACTAATATGGTTATTTCTTCAATGAGCAAGATTGTGGGGCACTGTTTGGGTTCCCTTTCCAGGGATGCAGTTTGGAAATCACATTCAGGCAGAAAGTCTGGAGTGTAGTAAGACTCACCCCATTTGTGTCGTTTTTCTCAGAGATCAAGTCCTGTGCAGCCTATTGCCATTGCCCCATGTCTGAAAATAGTTTCTACATTTTGTCCAATTTTTTAGCTGTTTATTATGGGAATGTAATTATGGACATTGTTGTCTTTTTTCAATGTCTTATTTTTCTTGGTTATATTTTCAGTGTTGTATCTATTGCTTTTTCTTAGACTGTGTACAAACTATGTTTTCTTGTTATCTGCCTGTAGTGAAGGGCTTTGGACCGCTTATCTACCCCATGCTTCAGTCTGGACAGCTCAATTTTATGTTTATGATTTTTTTTTCTTTATTGATTTGAGAGAGAGAAGAAGGGAGAGGGAGAGAGAGATAGAAACATCAATGAGAGAGAACATCAACTGGCCGTCCCCTGCATGCCCCCCACTGGGAATTGGGCCCACAACCTGGGCATGTGCCCTGACCAGGAATTGAACTGGCGACCTCTTGGTACATGGGTCGATGCTCAATCACTGAGCCACACTGGCCGGGCTGTTTATGATTTTTAAAATATTTTTGTTGACATACAATTTATATAACATAAAATTTATTGTTTTAAAGCATATAATATAGTGGACTTTTTTTTTTTTTTTTTTATCCTCACCTGAGGACATTTTTCCATTTTTTGTTCAGATAGAGTGGGAGGGAGAGAGAGAGAGAGAAACATCAACGTGAAAGGGACACTTTGAGTGGCTGCTTCCTGCACGACCCAACCAAGGCCGGGACAAACTGCAACTGAGATATGTGCCCTTAGCGGAAACCGAACCCAGGTCTCTCTGGACCGCAGGCCGATGCTCTAACCGCTGAGCCAAACTGGCCAGGGCTATAGTGGGCTTTATTATATTCATTATGTTGGACAACCATTACCATTATCTAATTCCAGAATTTTCTATCACCCAGAATGAAATTTCATACCTAATAGTAGTTAATTTTCCTCTTTTCTCCATCTCCTGGCAACTACTAATTTACTTTCTATCTCTATTGGTTAACCTCTTATAGACATTTCATGTAGATAGAATCATATTGTATGTAGCCTTTTATGTCTGTTTCTTTTAACTTAGCATTCTGTTTTCTAAGTTCACTTATGTTGCAGCATTTGTTTGTGGTTCTTTCCTTTACATGGCTAAATATTTCATTGTATAGATACAGGTTCTTCCTGCTATCCAGTAGTAGACCGTTCCTATGAAACCTTTCATAAGCTGAAATGATGTAAAGAAAAGATGCAATTACCATTAATTTATGGAAAAATTTTGAGTATTCTTAGATTCCACCCCCCCCAAATCCTACCAAATAATACATAAAACCTAAAACAACTCTAATATAGTAAAAGCAGAAATGATGTAATAAATACACAGCCTGTAAAGTAGAAATAATGGGTGTACAGTGTATTTTACCTTATTAAAAAGACTGATTTCTTCTATAAGATAATGGAATATCATACTTTGTACACCCACCCATTAATCCACTCAACCAATAGACTTTCCATTTTATCCATTCCTGGATGCTGGTTAAAAGAGACCACTTTACTGCCAGCAAAACCAACAGTAACTTTGGCAGCTTTCAGGATTCTTTCTCTCTTCATGTAAATAGTACAAATGGTGGACACAGGCAAACTCAGCGCATACACACTGTTTATTTTCTTCACCACCATCGAAGTACTTATGTCTAGTTTTATGTCAAGCATAATACCCTTACGCGTTCTTAGACTTTTCTAATACCTTAGGACACATCTTGCTAGCAGATGCACAAAATAAATCGAGATAAAGCACAGGTTGCTCAAATGCAATTCATGTCTATGGCAGCTTGATGATGAGGTGCTGAAGGTAATTCCCAAGGAGGGAGCTTGGCAGAGCCAGTCTTGCTTCTTGGAGTGCACCACTTCTACAACAGCTCACTACAAAACAAACACTGAATGTTATTTTCACTCTTTTTGTAAAAGTGGAAATCTTCTTTGGATTTCTTTTGGTTAGTGAAAACAGGTACTAATGTAGCTCTTTTGTGAAAGTGAAGTAGTATAACTCGAGCTTTTAAGAAGTGGAGGATATCTGAAGATCACATTTTGTTTGTCCATAAGTCAATGGAGCTTTGGATTATTTCTCCTTTTTTACTATTGTGAATAATGCTGCTTTGAAATTTGTGTGTAGCCCTGGCTGGTGTAGTTCAGTGGTTAGAGCGTTGGCATGTGCACTGAAGGTTTGGTAGTTTGATTCCTGGTCAAGGAGCATGTAACTGGGTTGCAGATTTAATCATTGACCCTGGTTGGGGTCATGTGGGAGTCAGCCAATCAATGTGTCTCTCTCCCATTGATGTTTCTCTCTCCTTCCCTTCCTTCCTCTCTTCCACTCTATCTAAAAATCAATGGAAAAATATCCTCAGGTGAGGATTAACCAAAAAAAAAAAAAAAAGGAAATTTGTGTGTGTAGACATATTCTTTTTTTTTTTAATCTTCTCCCTAGGATGCTTTTCCATTGATTTTTTTTTTTTTCAGACAGCATGGGAGGGAAGTAGAGAGGAAGATAGAAATATCGATATGAGAGAGAGACACTGATTGGTTGCCCCCAACATGATCGCAGGGCCAGGGATTGAACTACAACCGAGGTACCGGGATCAAACTCACTGGCCAACATTCTAACTGCTGAGCCAAACCTGTCAGGGCAACATATTCTTTTTTAATTACCTTGTTATACCTAAGAGTGGAATTCCTGGGTTATTTAGTAATTCTGTGTTTATCTATGATTATTAACATTAATAGATGTCTTTTGAAAAGAAGCTTTTGCATTTTCAGCAAAAAGACAAAAGAAAAGTAGGAAAACAAACAAAAAGTAGGAAAACAAACATAAAACCACCCACCTATGAATGATGGAACAACTACAGTCATTCCTCACCACTTCACGCTTCGACTTTCACGGCATCACTCGATCAGTTTTTTCAAATATAGTAATGTACTGAAAAAAACTGTGATAGAGTGAAGCTGTGAAAGTCAAAGCGCGAAGTGGCGAGGGACAACTGTATATAAATAAAGAATCCTTCTTCGCGGAAATTCATTTATTGTGGTAGAGTCTGGAACTGATTAACCGCAATAAACGAGGGCTCACTGTATTACTTTTTTTTTCAAATTTCTTTTTCTTCATTGATTTTAGAGAGAGGAAGGAAGAGGGAGAGAGAGAGATAGAAACATCAAAGGAGAGAACATCGATTGGCCACTTCCTGCATGCCCCCCACTGGGGATTTGGCCCAAACCTGGGCATGTGCCCAGGTATCAAACTGGCAACCTTTTGGTGCATGAGTCAATGCTCAACCACTGAGCCACACCACCCGGGCAACAATTATTACTCTTAATCAACAGGTTGATTCTCTGGACTTCTGTTTCTTCATTTGTAAATATACATGAATTTGACTAGATGGCTTTTGTGACCTATCCAGCTTACTGATTTTGAATATAAGATTGGGATACTTTTTAGGATTTCATATTAAATACATGAATTTGAGTTCTTACTACATGAATAACATGTAGTTATTTCTAAGATTAGAAATTATTGTAATATGTTGTCAGAAGAATAAGTCAAAATTGAACACAAAATTCAATTTGAATTATTTTGAATGATAGTTAAAATGTTGATTTTTTTTTTTTTTTCCCATCCTTACCAAGGATATTTTTCCATTTATCTTCAGATGGGAGTGGGGGGAGAAACACATTGATGTGAGAGAGACTCATCAACTGGGTACCTCCCGCCAGGGACGAACCGCAACCGAAGTATGTGCCCTTGACCAGAATTGAACCTGCACCTCATTGGTCCACAGGCTGACACCCTAACCACTGATCCACACTTGCCTGGGAAAAATGTTGATTGTTTTAGGTTTATGGGGAAGAATTAGATAAGTAAAGGGTTTAAATCATCATTGTTTCTTTCCATACTTAGAGGCCCATAACTGCCTTCATGCATTTATACTTGGTTTGATCTTGTTGCTTTTCACTTTTTGGTTAATAATTAATGTATGATCATTTTAATACTAGGAATTTGCAGTCCCTGATTATCGTTCTTCTCATCTTGAAGTCAGTCAAGCATCACAGCTTTTGCAGCAACAACAGCAACAACAGCTTCGCAGACGACCTTCGTTGCTTTCAGAATTTCACCCAGGTTCTGACAGGTAATGGGGTTTCTTTCATGTTTCTCTCTAGGACTGAACTTGTGAAGTGTGTATATTTCACAAGTGTGTTATATATTTTAATTTTTTTCCTTTGTTAATCATCACTTAAGTATATTTTTCCATTGATTTTTAGATAGAATGGAAGGGAAGGATTGGGGAGAAAGAGAGAGACAGAGAGAGAGGGAGAGAAACAAACATCAAAATGAGAGAGACACATCAATTGGTTGCCTCCCACATGACCCACATTGGGGCCGGGGATCCAACGGCAAGCCAGGTACTGCTCTTGACTGGGAATTGAACCCGTGACCCTTTGGTCTGCAAGCTGATGCTCAAACTGCTGAGCCAAATCAGCCAGGGCTTAATTATTTAATTTTACAACTTTTTTTTTAACCAAGCTGTGACTGGTAAATTTTAGTTTGTGTTTTCTGGTCATGTATATTTGTTTATCTTTTGGAGTAGTTATAATAATGAACAAAGTCTTAAAACTTGTTCCCAGAGTTCAGAGTTAATGGCTGTGTATTGGGAAGTCAGGTATATCTATACTTGAATCTTAGTTATCATTGTGGCCTTGATCACATACAGGGTGGGGTAAAAGTAGGTTTACAGTTATTCATATGGAAAATAATAGAGTAATTAATTAAAAAATTAGTGCAGGAATAAACTCTGTTATGTACTCACAACTGTAAATGTATTTTTGCCCACCCTGTATAAACTGGTGTTCTCAATTTAGGCCGTGTATTGGAACTGCCTGGGAACTTTTAAAACTTGATGCCTAAGTCTCATTTCAGAATACAAGTGACCCTTGAACACTGTGGGTTTGGCTTGTGCAGGTTCACTTGTACACATATTTTTTTCTGTTGACACTTACAGTTCATTTGACCTGTGTAGTTCAAATCCCCGTTGTTCGAGGGTCAGCTGGCTGTTGGGACTTTGCAAATGTAGAGGACCAACTTAGATATGGTGGATTTTCTGCTGCATGAGTGTTTGGCACCCCTAACTCCTGTGTTGTTCAAGTGTCAACTGTAATTAAATCAGTCTCTGGAATTGGGCCCAGGCATTTGTTTATGTCCAAAGTTTCCCAGGTATTCTCATTTGTAGCCAGGAATGCAGATCACTAATTTAGGCTCTTCAAACCTTAGTCTTCTCACCTGTAAAAATTAGGCTAACAGTGATCTTGTCCTCAAAGGATAGTAAGTATTTGATTAGGTAATATTGACCCTTCACATGTTAGATATTTTTTTTTTCTAGTGTCCTTTTCTTCTCTGCTACCTTTGACTCTGTTCTTACTCATGATATAAAGTATTTTGAAATGCAATAACTATTTTTGTTAAATTGCTTTTTTGGTTTTAGTCATTTTATAAAGAACCTGATTTTCTATTTTAAAAATGTTTGCTGTTTAGATGTTAAGGTGATAAAAGGTTTGAAATTATTTGGTCATGTTTAAAATTATTTTAAAATATATTTCTTGGTGTAGGTTGTAGAGAGAATTCAGATCACTCCCCAATATTTAGCAGATATAAAAAATAGTTTTTTTAAAAAGGGGCTAAAAGTGTACTGTTTATAAAGATGGAAAGGCAGCCCTGGCCGGTTTGCTCAGTGGTTAGAGCGTCGGCCTGCTGTCCAGAGAGACCCGGGTTCAGTTTCCGCTAAGGGCATGTACTTCAATTGCAATTTGTCCCCGGCTCTGGTTGGTCATGTGGGTGGCAGCCACTCGATGTGTCCCTTTCACTTCGATGTTTCTCTCTCTCTGTCTCTTTCTCTCTCTCCTTCCCACTTTATCTGAGCAAAAAATGGAGAAATGTCCTCAGGTGAGGATGAAATAAAAAAAAGGAAAGGCGTAAGCCACTGCCATAAACTTGGAAAAGTAGCATTTAAGGAAGGAATTAGAAGAATCCTGCATTACTTGGCTTCCTAGTCTCTACTTATGCACTCAAAGAAGCAGTGTTGAAGAAAGAAAAGGGGTCAATAAAATCCTGGGATTTCTCATGAATACTCTTCAGATTGAGAAAATTTAAGTGTGGCCGGTTGTGGTGAATGGTTTTCATGGGATTCTCATATGCCATCCTGCACGAAACGCTGTTACAGTGTGTTGTTTTCCAAATCAGTGAGCCAAAACTCTCAGGACTGGTTTACATGTCTGGCTGGTAGAGTGGGCCAGGATTCTTACCAAAGGTTTTGACAGCCTCAACCAAGGTTTCCCTTACTTTGCTCTATATTTTTGTTCCCTCAGGCTGTAGAAAAGTATTTAGAAAACCATACCAAGTTCTTCATTTGTAGACAAACACGTCAGGCAACGCAGGGATGAACAAGGAAAAACCATGTACACTACTCCACACCAAAGAGAAAGTCTGAGTGGGGCTGCCTATGGTGTACCTGAGCAGGAGGGTAAGGGATACCATGAATAGGGCAAATGTATTACTGGAAAAGAAAAGTAATAAGCAGTGTAGTATGTGTGTGAGAAGACAGAAGACAAAGGACTTACCACATGAATTTTATATACTATAGAAGAATTAGAAAGTAATAATGAACTATTTAAGAAACAGCCAAATTAGATAGAATGAAAGATTAGACATCTCATTGCCCCCAAGCTCATCACTAAAATTTAACATGTAAAATGAGGAGAAACTAGGATTAAAATAGGTTTCATTAAAAGTCAGACCTTTGTTGTGGAAAAAAGTCTTGAGATAATCAGAGTGAAAGCAGAAGAAAAGGACAAAGATTAAAGCACTTAGTGAGAAGTTGATTAATATGGAGGAAAACTAAAATCATCCACAGTATCATATGACCATGTGTTCCTGAGGTGGAGAACTTGGTAAAGAAAATAATATTCATAATAAAACAATCCTCTTTTTTCCTTGTAAGTGAAGGAAGACTCTATAGATTGATAAGACATACCCATACCTGTCTCCAGGAAAGTTATACCGACTGATCAATATAAGGCAGATCCTGGTTAACTTATTAAAGTTCAAGGATAAGTAAAATAATTAGGAATCCAGGAAGCAAAATAAATCTTTGACAGGGGGAGAAAAGAGTCTGGTCTCAAACTTCTGTAGTGACAGAAGATAGTAGAGCAAAACTATAAAGTTCTCAGAAAAAGAAATTGAGTTCTAAGAATATTATACCAGGCATGTTTAAGGATAAAAGTAACGTTCTTAGACATGAAAGCACTGAACATCTCAAACTTCTTAAAGAATTTTTAGTAGGCGATGGAATCTAGCTAAACAGAGAATAGATGCTATAAACCCATTTAAGTAGCAAATCCATATGAGGTACCCAGATGAATTATGGTTTCATAACAGAATGTCAACAGTAAATCTTGACAAAGTAAAAATCATATAACTACCCACCTAGAGGTATGGTAAGTATTGGAAGAATGTTTAAAGGTGTGAATTTGAAAAGTGTGGCTGGAGATTTAGTACTTCTAAAATGGAAATGTTAAGTTAAATAAAATTCTACCTTTTCAGTGTCCTTACCTTTCAACAGGATTTTTTTAGGAACTAATTTTCTTGTGGTAAAGGAGCATTTCTCTGGTATACAGTAGTATTTCCTTCCATTTTAAGCTTTATTATATTTTTTTCCCTCTTATGTCAGTATAAAAATAAACGAAATCTTTTTTAAAAAAATACTGTATGTGATTTAAAAAAATTTTTGCTTGTACTTTTGTCTATCCATATACAAAAGTAAAATGATCTCTGGGAGTGATATTCACATAATTTCAGCATCTTAGTTTCTTTGTAGTGAGATTTTGGGGTGATTTGCTGTTTTGTTCTGTTCTGTATTCTTGGAATCTTTTCTGTCAGCAAATAATATATCATTTTATAAGCATGATATTCATGAAAAGTCAGAGTTATTTCTATGTGAATGGCTGTTTTCTAGATTTCATTGGAAAAATTAGTCCACATAACTTCAGAGTATTTGGATAGTTAGATAAAAAGATTCAGAACACTTTAAGTAGTTTCAGATATTTTAAAAGATTTACTGAAATTCAGATAATTGGCTTTTCCTTGAGCTACAGAAGAACAAGCCAAGTTATATTGGTCAATTTTTAAATGGAAGTGAAATCAATTTTATTTCATAGAACAGCTTCCTTAGCTGGTAAATAAATAAAATCAGTTGATATAATTCTTTTTTAATCCTCACCTGAGGACATTTTTCCAATTTTTGTTCAAATAGAGTGGGAGGGAGAGAGAGTAACATCGACATGAAAGGGACATATCGAGTGGCTGCCTCCCGCATGATCCAACCAGGGCCAGGATCCAACTGCAACCGAGGTATGTGCCCTTTTTGGGAACTGAACCCGGGTCTACCTGGACTGCAGGCCGATGTCTATAACCGCTGAGCCAAACCGGCTGCGGCAGTTGATGTAATTCTTGATGATCTTTGTGGACCATTATTTTGTTTGTTTTTTATTTTTTATTTTTTTTTATCCTTGCCCGAGGACATTTTTGCATCTATCTTCAGATAGAGTGGAAGGGAGAGAGGGAGGAAGAGAGAGAGAGAAACATCAGTGTGAGAGAGACACATAGATTGGTTGCCACCTGCACAACCCAACCAGGGCCGGGGACAGACGGCAACCGAGGTACGTGCCCTTAGCGGGAATCGAACCTGAGACTCCCCGGTCCACCGGCCGAAGCTCCAACCCAGCGGTTCTCAACCTGTGGGTCGTGACCCCTTTGGTGGTCGAAGGTTCGCCTAAGACCATCGGAAAACATATATTTCCGATGGTCTTAGGAACCAAGATACCGCTCTTCTATTCGTCTCCAGACGAGTCTGCCCACATGCAGATACGCCCACACACAACATGAGGAACTGTATGAAAGGGTTGTGGCGTTGGGAAGGTTGAGAACCACTGCTCCAGCCCCTGTGCAGAACCTGCTAGGGCTGGGCCATTATTGTGAATAGCTATGGACGTTATGACATATTTCTCCTAAATGAGGGATATCTTTTCTTTAAAATTAAAATTATGATAAAGTATAGGTATATTGCAGTAAAATCCATTT